TTACTGTAACCTTAAGATAATATTGACCGGCCTATTAGTACAGCACACACATACACACACGGACACATACACACCCAACTGACCGGTGGTCGTCTAAACCCCACAACGCACAAGTCCCCACACCAACAATATTTTTCTTGTTTCCGCCTTGCGACCACGACAAACCCCACAAAGGTAGGCAACTACACCGGAAGTGACGTCATGTGTGTGTGTGTTACTGAGTGTTGTGAATACTGGACACGGAGAAGGTGTTAGGGTTGCATGGAGCGGGATTAAGGGGAGACAACACTCTCAAGGTTAGGGGAGAGAATAAGAGTTAGGTCCCCTTGAGTGGCGACAAGGGGCGATTAACTTCTTTAGTTGGTAGCGATGATTTCGTTTCTTTCACGAACTATTATACTGCTACTACGATAGTCGTTACAATTAGACTGTGCCCCCCCCCCCCAGAACTTTTGTTACCGCCCCCCCCCCGAACGACCGAACGAAATGAAATTTATATAATTTATATAGAAAATATATACTTTTAACAGTGTCCGCCCCCCCCCCGAAGAAAGTTTACCGCCCCCCCCCCCCCCGAAAATTTCAAGTGCCCCCCCCCGGAGAAAAAAGTCTGGAAGAAACACTGAAGCTGAGAAAAGAAGGGATGGGGTGGAAGGGGAGGGGTGGAGGAGCTATAAACCACTTACAATATATGTCAGATGAAAAAAATTTTTTGTATTACAATTTAATATCTAGAGTTAGGTAAAGATTGGTTTTTGTGCATGATGAAAGAAATGAGGGTGGAGGGGGGGGGGAATAAATTAAAGGGGATAACCCAGGGTCTTATATCTAAGTCATCGTCTGCAACTTTTGTCATTTGAGGTTATTATTCAGTTGTTGGCATCATTACATGACCTCGTCGATTAGCCGTACCCTGATAGCTTTTATATAAATTTGCTTATGGAGAGTTGGACAAAAGAAAAATGGTACTCGATTTAAACATACTTTCTAGTAGCGCCAGCTTAGACTAGCCTAGGCCGAGCCACAAGGAGATCCTCGGGGTCATCCATTTATGACGTCCACAATTTGTTTTGGATTTTGGACCCCCTCCCCCTCGTCCACAAAAATTCACTTTTTTTCCTTATTAAAGTCCATATGCGTCCACAAAAGTCAGTTTTTTTCGGACCCCCCCCCCGCGTGTGGACGTCATAAATGGATCAACAGGATGACTTCCATGGGCCCGCAACGAGTTATTTTTCTGAGGGATCAACATATTTTCCTGGGGGCTCTAAGTTATATTTTCCTGGGGGCTCTAAGTTATATTTTCCTGGGGGCTCTAAGTTATATTTTCCTAGGGGCTCTAAGTTATATTTTCCTGGGTGCTCTAAGTTATATTTTCCTGCGTGCTCTAAGTTATATTTTCCTGGGGGCTCTAAGTTATATTTTCCTGGGGGCTCTAAGTTATATTTTCCTGGGGGCTCTAAGTTATATTTTCCTGGGGGCTCTAAGATATATTTTCCTGGGGGCTCTAAGTTATATTTTCCTGGGGGCTCTAAGTTATATTTTCCTGCGGCCGAACGAGATATTTTTCTAGGGGCCCAACAATATATTTTTCTGGGGGCTCTAAGTTATATTTTCCTGGGTGCTCTAAGTTATATTTTCCTGGGGGCTCTAAGTTATATTTTCCTGGGGGCTCTAAGTTATATTTTCCTGGGGGCTCTAATTTATATTTTCCTGGGTGCTCTAAGTTATATTTTCCTGGGGCTCTAAGCTATATTTTCCTGGGGGCTCTAATTTATATTTTCCTAGGGGCTCTAAGTTATATTTTCCTGCAACCGAACAAGATATTTTTCTAGGGGCCCAACAATATATTTTTCTGGGGGCTCTAAGTTATATTTTCCTGGGAGCTCTAAGTTATATTTTCCTAGGGGCTCTAAGTTATATTTTCCTGGGGGCTCTAAGTTATATTTTCCTGGGTGCTCTAAGTTATATTTTCCTGGGTGCTCTAAGTTATATTTTCCTGCGGCCGAACGAGATATTTTTCTAGGGGCCCAACAATATATTTTTCTGTGGGCTCTAAGTTATATTTTCCTGGGGGCTCTAAGTTATATTTTCCTGGGGGCTCTAAGTTATATTTTCCTGGGGGCTCTAAGTTATATTTTCCTGCGGCCGAACGAGATATTTTTCTAGGGGCCTAACAATATATTTTTCTTGGAGCTCACAGGGATTCGTCCCTGTAGACCAGCGGGCTAGCACACCCCTGTAAGCTCACAGATTCATCTGCCTTTTGAAATAACAGACTCACAGGTGTAAGAAAAGACATGTAAGTTCAACCTAGAATACGCTTATCCTTTATTTCCGTTTCAAGTAGGCCTACCTCTAGTTATTATCTTAACTAAATACACTGTGCTATTGTCGGGGTCAAGATAGGGGTTATAATTATATAGGTCAATAAACATGACAAACACATTTCCATTGTAAGATATGTGAGGCCCATAATAGACCTCACGGGATGTATATCAAGGTCTTGGTTAAGATAGAGTGATGTCGAATTGCGCGTTCTAAATTGTATTTATTTTAAAGTTTTGCAAACCCCGATCCACAACAAAAATGTAATTAACTACAACAAACTTTGAACAAAAACTATACTCCAAGCTTCATCAATACATTAGGAAGACATTTCTATTGAATTAATTTAAATTGTTATTCAAAAGAGGATATTGGGGCTTTGTTGGCTAAAATATATTACATCATTTTTGTGGTTTGGCTTTTTGTAATAAAGGGATAGGCAAGGGTAGTGAAGGGTACGTACAAATCGGTAAAATAAAAAGTCTAATTTAATCTCGTCCATGTTGTTCTATTTTATTGTGTGTATGTACTTCTAAATACCTTATTACAAAACAAAGTGTGAGAATTTTGTTTTGAATAGACAAATTACTGCCAGCATTTTGTGTTTCTTTACAAAAATCGCAGTCATCCATTCTCTCCATTGTGCGAGTTAAACTAGGTAATGCAGGTGAAATTTGTTTTCAATTTTAATCCCTGCGCGCGCAGACAATACCTTCGTTGTGAAGTGACACGTCAGTCAGACACGTGGCAGGCTGTGATACGTCACAGGGGGGGGGGGTGGCCAGACTGTGTACCGTCGTCTCATTGGTCAAAGCTGGTCATCTGACCATCTTTGGCTTACACTGCTAGTTATGTAAAGAATAAAAAACAAACATGCTAAATTAACATATCTGAAACTGAATTGCATTATGTAAAACTAAATTAAAAGTTTTAATGACCTTACAGATTACCATAGCTAAGTGACACAAAGGCGGTGACTCAATATGTAGATGGATCCCTTTTTAAAACTACCGAGCTCCTAGTGTGAAAGTAACCATTTTGCTTCAAAGGGATGTAGCTAGAATAATGCGCTGTATATAATCTTTTATGATTTCCTTCCCTTTGAAATTTTTCTTTCCGTTTTTATAATTATTCCTGTTTTTATTTTAATATTTTTATTTAAAAAGATTATTTCCTATTTCATCACTTGGTGCGCGATTCTTTTTCTTTTCTACGAGATTGTACTCTATTTTAAAAAGTTTAAGTAACTGAAAATGGATTAAAAATCAAGTCTATATCCCGAGTTGCCATCCCCCGTAGTGTTATATAAGAATATGCAAGAAAGTTTAGGGGAGATCACTCCCGGTTTATTTTAAAAGTTATATTTTTCGCAATTTTGTGTAGTACAGTGCGAGGTAGCTTACAGTAAGTTACCAGACATCTTAGTAATTTAACTACGGCTTTTTCTCCAGATATGGTTCGTTGGTTATATTAATAATTAATAAAGGGAACTGCGTGGTCGAGTGGTAGAATGTACGACTGACAACTCGAAAATCTCGAGTTCAGATCTCAAGCACTCCCATTTTGGGGCAACATCACATTCTAAACAAATTAACGCATTCACATTAAATAATTGTGTTATTTCTACAGAATATTATTCTATTTTTTATGGCTACTTATTAATTGCGCAATAATTGAAGTTTTATGTTAAGGAATAAGTATCAATACTGTTACTGGTGCTAGTTAAATAAGTGACTAGGCCTATAGTTCACTCTAAAATCTATGAGCGATAAATAAACACACCTTCATTATACATTTTTGTAAGGTTTAAGTTTAGTAGCATATACATCAGTGATAAATATTGTCTATTTTATAAGATTTGCTGCTTAATTTGAATTTTTAAAAACAAAATATAGAATATCTCCCCATGATAATTTTTATATTTGAGCGGAGAGTAGGAAAGACTATAAAATAATTTAAAACCAATGTTACAAGTTTTAAATATTTTGACTAACGTTTTAAACCAAATATGTTATAGATTATTATATGGAGTGTCGATTGTTGTAATGATATACTTATAGGCCTACTTATGTATGTTTGTTTGAAAAATATCGTATCAGTTAACTGGCAATTTTGATGTGAATACGTAGAACGTCTTGGACGGTCATTAAGAACATGCTTTTAAATTAGGGATTGTTGGACGGCCACGCAAGTACACTTTAAGACATAACGGTCAATTTGGACGGCTTTACAATTACATTTTTAGAAATAAGTTTTCATTTGGACGGGCATTCAAGCCCATGTTTTAAAATCAACGTAATTTAGGACGGCCATGCATATCCTTGTTTCTATTATTTCCTAAGATTAATGACAAGATTTTCTCCAATGATTAAGGACATTACTAAACGGAAACGAATCCGATTTATTCCTGTTAAGCTAAAAATAACTGTTGATAAACTTACATGTAGCTTTCACACCACATACATTCTTACAGTATGTTATTCTATCTGTACACACATAAACATATAAGATGAAACAGGGTACTATTGAACAGAAATGTAAGTTTCCTGTAAAAAAAAAAATTAAAAATAAAAAATAAAAAAAAGAAAGCTACATTTGGTTTTAACAAAACAAAATTCTGAATGATAATAATAAAACACGAACATAATTTTTTTTAAAATTTTTATTTCGCAATTATTTTTTTGTGCGAATGTGTGTGGGTGGATCAGTATCTTGGGCAATTTGGCGCGTATTTCTGACAGTCTCTTGTGTAGACGTTAAACACCATCTTGGCCACAAAACGGTTGCCATTGTAGTAGGCATCGGGACAGGGTCTGTTAACAGGAAGGAAATTAATTTATTGCATGTTAGGATACATGAATGTTTTTTTGTGTGGTAAAATAAAATTAGAAGAGCGATATTCTATAGTTCTGAAAATTACTAATTGTTCAAATACTTAGGTCAACTTTGTTTCACCTATATCAGAAGACTAGCCGAGTTACGCCTTAGAAAAATATAACTCGTGTTTTAGTTTGTTTGATGCTCAGCGTCAGATGTAAAGATTCGGTTAGTCGTGGTTACATTTAAATACAGAAACATCTGACAACTTATATCTGATAACAAACGCCTGATAAATTACCTCAAGTAAAGAATCTTGTGACAACTTACCTCAGGTAAAAAAAAGTCTTACAACTCAGGTAAAAAAAAGTCTTACAACTCAGGTAAAAAAAAGTCTTACAACTCAGGTAAAAAAAAACAACTTACAACTCAGGTAAAAAAAAGTCCTACAACTCAGGTAAAAAAAAGTCTTACAACTCAGGTAAAAGAAGTCTTACAACTCAGATAAAAAAAGTCTTACAACTCAGGTAAAAAAAAAGTCTTACAACTCAGGTAAAAAAAATTCTTACAACGCAGGTAAAAAAAAGAGTCTTACAACTCAGGTAAAAAAGTCTTACAACTCAGGTAAAAAAAAGTCTTACAACTCAGGTAAAAAAAAAGTCTTACAACTCAGGTAAAAAAGTCTTACAACTCAGGTAAAAAAAAGTCTTACAACTCAGGTAAAAAAAACGTGTGACAACTTACCTCAGGTAAAGAATTTCGTTAGAGCAGGTGGCGTAGTAGCCATACTGACAATGGCTGCAGAGTGGGTAGTCGCCGTTTGGACGTCTCAGACATGCGTCACGGGAGTATTGGTCAACACATGAAATGGCTGAAAGTATTTTTACGCTTAGTTATGGTCAAAGGGAAGTAATATAGATAATTATGACTGCCGATTTAGGCTAACAGAGTTACATTTCTTAGATTTGAAAGTTTAAATAAATACAAATTCAAACTTAATTTTAATAAAAAAAACCTCAATAAAATACGATATTATCAATTGAATATTCTGGTTTTAACAGCATAGTGACTTCGTAATCCTACCATAATAAAATAGCCGTTAATTATTTAAGCCTACAGAAATAACAACCAGACATCACTACACTAAGATAATGGGCGCCCAAGTTTTGTATCAAATGCACACGCATAATTTAACTAACGATTTATTAAATTAGTAGGAAAAGTAGATTGTGTATATGTTTATTAAAACTTTTTTTTTCTATATTCCTGATATTTCCGCAAAAAAACACATGTCTTTTTCTCGATCTTTTTCTATTTTTAAAAATTGTCTAAAAATAGAAAATTGAAACTAATTTAATTAACTAATTAGGCCAACTGCCAAGATTACCTGGTCTGGGGGGAGACAGACGAGATCCGTCCTCGTCAGCTACTGCTGCGCCCAACCAGCAGACGACGAGAATTGCTAAGGTCACGTGTCCGTTCATTTCTGTACTGCTTTTAGTTGTTGGTTATCCAAAGGGTTGAGAAAAGTTGACCTGTAAGTGTAGATTGAATGGGTGCATGTTGACATGGGGATATTTGATACGTGTTTTGTTCATGCGTATCTATGCCGTGTGTTGGAGGGGGGGGATGGTGGAGTAAAGGGTGGTTGAGTGGAGATGATAGAAGAGTAGTGGCTTGCGTGTTATCGGGGAGTTGGGGAATAGGGAGGGGGTGGTTATGGGAGAGTGGTGGGAATAGGGAAGGGAGTGGTGATGTGGGAGTGGCGGAAGTAGTAATTTACGCTACTTCCGATTTCTCAAAAAACTAATGTAAATTTTTAAAGTACTAATAATATTGCGCACTATTATGCACATTTTGTTTCGGCGTTTGTTTGGTGCGCAATGTTTTTTTCTATGAGATTCTATTCTATTTTTAAAAGTTTAAGTAATTAAAAATCATGTCTACATTCCAAGTTATATAAGAATATTCGAGAAAGTTTAGGGGAGATCACTCCCGGTTTATTTATAATTATTTCAGTTTTTATTTTAATATTTTTATTTTGAAAGATTATTTCCTCTTTCATCACTTGGTGCGCTATTTTTTTCTTTTCTACGAGATTCTACTCTATTTTTAAAAGTTTAAGTAATTAAAAGTGGATTAAAAATCATGTCTATATCCCCAGTTGCCATCTCCCGCATTTTTATATAAGAATATGCGAGAAACTTTAGAAGAAATCACTCCGGTTTATTTTTAATATTATATTTTTCGCAATCTTGTATAGTACAGTGCGAGGTAGCTTAGAGCAAGTTACCAGTCACAGCAGCATTTTAACTACGGCTTTTTTTCCAGATATTGTTGGTTATATTAATAATAAATAAAGGGAACGTGTGGTCGAGTGGTAGAATGTACGACTGACAACTCGAAGTCTCGAGTTCAGATCTCAAGCACTCCCATTTTGGGGCAACAACCCATTCTAAACAAATTAACGCATTCACATTAAATAATTGTGTTATTTCTACAGAATATTATTCTATTTTTTATGGCTACTTATTAATTGCGCAATACTTGAAGTTTTATGTTAAGGAATAAGTATCAATACTGTTACTGGTGCTAGTTAAATAAGTGACTAGGCCTATAGTTCACTCAAAAATCTATGAGCGATAAATAAACACACATTTCATTATACATTTTTATAATGTTTAAGTTTAGTAGCATATACATCAGTGATAAATATTGTTTATTTTATAAGATTTGCTACTTAATTTGAACTTTTAAGAACATAATGTAGATTATATCCCATGATTTTTTAAATATTTGAGCGGAGAGTAGGAGAGACTATAAAATAATGTAAAACCAATATTACTAGTTTTAAATATTTTGACTAACGTTTTAAACCGAATATTGAAATGATATACTTATACTTATGTATGTTTGTTTGAAAAAATACCTTATCAGTTAACTGGCAATTTTGATATGAATACGTAGAATGTCTTGGACTGGCATTTTAGAACGTTTTTAAATAAGGGATTTTTGGACGGCTATGCAATTACATTTTTAGAAATAACGGTCAATTTGGACGGCTATGCGAGTACATTTTTAGGAATAAGTGTAAATTTGGACGGGTTCTCAAGCCCATGTTTTAACATCAGGGTCATTTAGGACGGCCATGCATATCCTTGTTTGGAGTAGTACTATGATTAATGACAAGATTTTCTCCAATGATTAAGGACATCACTAGACGGAAACGAATCCGATTTATTCCTTTTAAGCTAAAAATAACTGTTGAAAAACTAACATGCAGCTTTCACACCACATACATTCTTACAGTATGTTATTCTATCTTTCCACACGTACAAATATAAGATGATGTTTTACTTTGTATAATGAAACAGGGTACTATTTAAGAGAAATGTAAGTTTTGTGTAAAAAAAAAAAGCTACATTGATCCAACAAAACAAAAATTTGAATGATAATAAAAAACGAACTTAATTTTTTTTTAAATTTTATTTCGCAATTATTTTTTTTTGTGTGCGAATGTGTGTGGGTGGATCAGTATCTGGGGCAATTTGGCGCATATTTCTGACAGTCTCTCGTGTAGACGTTAAACACCATCTTGGCCACAAAACGGTTACCGTTGTAGTAGGCATCGGGACAGGGTCTGTAAACAGGAAGGAAATTAACATGATGCATGTTGGGATACATGAATGTTTATTTTGTGGTCAAATAAAATTACAAGAGTGATATTCTATAGGTCTGAAAAGTAACTAATTGTTCAAATACTCAGGTCAACTCTGCTTCACCCACACCAGAAGACTAGCCGAGTTACAACTTTAAAAAAATATAACTCGTGTTTTGGTTTGTTTGATGCTAAGCGTCAAGTATAAAAATTTGGTTAGTCGTGGTTACATTTAAATACAGAAACATCTTACATCTTATATCTGATAACAAACGCCTGATAAATTACCTCAGGTAAAGAAACTTTTGACAACTTACCTCAGGTAAAAAAAAGTCTTAAAACTCAGGTAAAAAAAAGTCTTACAACTCAGGTAAAAAAAAGTCTTACAACTCAGGTAAAAAAAATTCTTACAACTCAGGTAAAAAAAGAGTCTTACAACTCAGGTAAAAAAAGTCTTACAACTCAGGTAAAAAAAAGTCTTACAACTCAGGTAAAAAAAAGTCTTACAACTCAGGTAAAAAAGTCTTACAACTCAGGTAAAAAAAAAGTCTTACAACTCAGGTAAAAAAAAGTGTGACAACTTACCTCAGATAAAGAATTTCGTTAGAGCAGGTGGCGTAGTAGCCATACTGACAATGGCTGCAGAGTGGGTAGTCGCCGTTTGGACGTCTCAGACATGCGTCACGTGAATATTGGTCAACACATGAAATGGCTGAAAATATTTTAACGGTGAGTTATGGTCAAAGGGAGGTAAAAAAGATAATTATGATTGCTGATTTAGGCTAACAGAGTTACATTTCTTAGATTTGAATATTTAAAAAAATACAAATTCAAACTTAATTTTAATTAAAAAAAACACTATAAATTACGATATTATCAATTAAATCCTCTGGTTTTAAAAGCATAATTTGCGTAATCGTACCATAATAAAAATAGCTATTGATTATTCATCCTACAGAAATAAAAAATGAGATATCCCTACACTAAGATAATGGGCGTCCAAGTTTTTTATCATATGCACAAGCATAATTTAACTGCTCAATTTATTTAACTGGTTGGAAAGGTAGATTCTCTATATGATTATTTATACTTCTTTGCTTTTCTATATTCCTGCTGTTTCCGCAAAAAAGAAAATGACTTTTTCTCGCTTTTTTCTATTTTTAAAAAGTGTCTAAAAATAGAAAATTGAAGCTAATTTAATTAACTAATTAGGCCAACTGCCAAGATTACCTGGCCTGGGGGGAGACAGACGAGATCCGTCCTCGTCAGCTACTGCTGCACCCAACCAGCAGACGACAAGAATTGCTAAGGTCACTTGTCCGTTCATTTTTGTCATGGTTTCAGTTGTTGGTTATCCAAAGGGTTGAGAAAAGTTGACCTGTAAGTGTGGATTGAATGGGTGCATGTTGACATGGGGATGTTTGATACATGTTTCCTTCATGCGTATCTATACTGTGTCTTGGGGGGGATTATGGTGGAGTAAAGGGGGGTTGAGTGGAGATAGAGGGGTAGTGGCTTGAGTGTTATCGAGTAGTTGGGGAATAGGGAGGGGAATGGTGATGGGGGAGTGGGGAATAGGGAGGGGAGTGGTTATGGGGAAGTGGGGGAATAGGGGGGTGGTGATGGGGGAGTGGGGAATAGGGAGGGGAGTGGTGATGGGGGAGTGGGGAATATGGAGGGGAGTGGTGATGGGGAATGGTAGAATAGGGACGGGAGTGATGATGGGGGAGTGGGGGAGAGGGAGGGGAATGGTGATGGTGGAGTGGGGAATAGGGAGGGGAGTGGCGATTGCGGAGTGGGGGAGGGAAGGAAATGGTGATCGTGGAATGGGGATAGGGAATTGTGATAGGGAATAGGGGTAATAGGGAGGGGAGTGGGGTGTGGGTGGATTGAGGTTTGTGGTGATTGGGGAGTGGGGGAATATGGAAGTTAATGGGGTGTGGGGGGATTGAAGTGAGTGGTGATTGGGGAGTGGGGGACAGAGGCATAGCGACCCTTCCCGGCGCCCGGGGACAAGCTCTTCGATTTGCCCCCCCCCCCCCCCCCCCCCGCTCTCAAGATTTCTATTTGCATTCCTTCCCTCAAACTTTCGATTTGCACCCCCCCCCCCCTCAAACATTCGATTTGCACCCCCCCCCCCTCAACCTTTCAATTTATTTTTCCAACCCATTTTGGCGCCCCCTAAGGTCGACGCCCGGGGACATATGTCCGCCCCCCCCCTCTCCCCCTCGCTACGCTACTGGTGGGGGAGGAAAGTGATTGTAAGGGGGCAAGCAGAGGCGTCTCTAAACGGACTGGAGTGTACATCGAAACAATATTTTTTTTTTTAATTTTTAATTGGAGTCCCTAATCAAACCTTAATCGAGACAGTAAATTACAAAAGGAACTAAAAAACATGGGTAAAAATAGTTAGAGATATGGATGACTTCAAAATTAAATTTTTCGGTTTTCGTTTATAATCTCAACAAAAGAAAATAGTCCTGTCAAAATATAAAGAAAAAAAAAACCGTAAATCTACCCCTATGTCAGAATCTAACCCTAATCATACGCCTAATATTGATACCGGAAAGAGGATACAACCAACACGGTACTGTATTGAGGTTTCAGCGTTTTAACGGGAACAAGAAACCGTTGTGGTTAAAGGGGGGGGGGGGGGGTTGCTTCGGGCGCTGAATTGTGCTGCTACGCCCCTACGCTAAACTGACACATACATCGACGATCAATCTCAACTGATCTACACGATAAAGTGTCTAGACTCCCTCATCTTCACACATTCACCTTTTGGTACACTTAACCCAGGGGTCTCCAAACTTTTCAGCCCGAGGGCCGCATTGACTATCAAAGTTCAGTTCGGGGGCCATTTTCTTCCAGACATGTCTTTGATTTTTCTGGGAAAAGTTCCTCAGCTATCACCAACAAATGTTTTTTGCGTGGACAAAAAGATCTCCGCGGGCCGGATGAGAGGACCTCGCGGGCCGCATTCGGCCCGCGGGCCGTAGTTTGGAGACCCCTGACTTAACCTATTGCTAGAAATGTAGGAAGTGATTTATCGCCCCTAGCGTTGTTATATTTAACACGTATCCGGGTTCCTTCCCTTTACCAACGAAAATTGAAATGAAACGACGCTTAACAAATTTTTAATTAGATTCAATTTTTAAGCAATTACTCGTTTTGTTGTTTTGGAGTTAAGTTTATTTTTTTTATTAAAATCAACCTACATTTTTATATAGGACCTATAATTATACCTGTAACGTTTGTCTTGTGGTAGAACGCCCAAATACTATCCCGATAGTATCGCGTTGATATCACTCAAGCAAGGAGAAATGATGGCGGCGGGGCAAGAGAAACGAGGTCAGAGAATGTGGTGAACTCTACTTCATCTATCCCACTTATATATACATATATAGATACATACACACACACATACACACATATAAATATATATATATATATATATATATATATATATATATATATATATATATATATATATATATATATATAATATAAAAACAGCTAATGACGATGTTTTATTATCTTAATATTACACTATACCCAAACAACATCTTAGTTTGAAAAACAATGGTACCTTATCTTCCAAACCTCTAAACCTAAACTCAACCATAACCTTATCTTAGACGTACCTTAACCCTAATACCAGCGGCAAGTTTAACTCTAGTGTTATAGTAATGGACACAAAACCTATCTTACCTTAGCTTTTAGAAGATCTGGTGCTAACACAAGAGACTGCAGATGACCATGTTGTAGTTGTCTCCCTGCTTATATAAGCCAAGAAGCAATCAGTCCTAATGAGGAAACTACGATCATTATTTCCCTTTAATGTAATTAGCCCGGGAACGGCTATTTTAATACAGCGGAAATGAATGAATGCATTAATTTATTTGAATTATCTAATTTCCTTATTTAGGAAAACGTTTAACTTTGAAATAAGCTTTACTGTCTAGGACATATATATATATATATATATATATATATATATATATATATATATAGAGTGATAGTATGTATGTATATATTTTTATGTGTGTGTGGTGTGTATGTGTGTGTGTGTGTGTGGGTGGTTGGTGCATTTTTTCAATAATCAAGTTCGAAAGCTAAAAGTGGTGAAATCTCATTTTAGGTTGAGGTTACTTTATGCATAGTGTTATTTTTTATGACGAACTTTAAATACGATATACTTAAAGTTATACGTTTATTATGTGATGGAAGGCATTAGAATGGAGCTTTGTGACGTCTCTTATGCTGATGGGTCTTGTGGTGTAGGTTGGGTAAAACCTCACTATATCGGGCAACGTGGTATGAATGTATATAAAAATCACCTAACTCAACAATTTCTTTTTTTTCCACATTGCATTTGATGTTACGCCCAGTTCGTAGATGAAATAACTTCGATTTGGCACTATAATAGATCGACGTTCTGATAGATCGGCATTCTGCTTAATTCACATTCTCATAGGTCAATATTCTCACAGATCATCATTCTTATGGATCAACATTCTCAACGATCATTATTCACAATATTCTGGATTCAACACTAAAAAATGTGAAACACAAAATTCGCGATGATTTTCAGGGGTCATTCACAAACGAATTCATTTTCCTAAGACTTCGGAAATTTGTGACGCGTTGGAGATAGGGGGTTCCGAAGTTGTAGTTACACGTTTTGAAAATTAAAAAGTAATGTTGAAATTTTAGCCTCCATTTAGCGTTTTAAAAAGACCTCCTGTTGTACATTGCAAACTATTTAATGTAGGCTACTCAACAACTTTGGTAGATATTTTTAAAAAATATTAAGAAATCGATGATTGAAAAAAAAACGTTGATTTTGAAGCAGTTTGTAGGTCTAGAACTGAGGGGAAGGATGACGTCATTTTGAAGGGGGAGGGGGGGGGGGGCTGGTTTTTTGAGACGATGTGTGACGATGGGGAGGGGGGGTGGTAACAAAAGTCTTACGAACTTCTTCTCTTCTTCGTTCTTAATATTTAGTGTTGGAAAGGATCGAGCCTTATCGAGACTTTTTCGAATTTAAAAAATTTAATAATTTAACAATCCGTATACGGATGTATCATTGAAATACTCGCTATATCAATATATAGCAGTGGCGTACATTTGTTTATAGGGTAGATAATGAAGAGAAACCATCAAATGCGTAAAATTGTGCTAAGTTATTATCATAATTGGAATAACATGATCATAAATCACGGTTAAGTATGAAGCGCCGCTGGTGTAGTGGTATCATGCAAGATTCCCATTCTTGCGACCCGGGTTCGATTCCCGGGCGGCGCATTTTTTCTTTTTCTTTTTTTATTGAAATTAAAATTACCTGCTACGTGCCTGTGCACCCTCCCCCACCCCTATCCTAATGGAACCATACACTGAACCCAGCCCATTTATTATTATGTAACCGTGGGAAAGATCCCTAAATAAATATTATTTCCTATTATACTTCAATAAATGTGGTTTCTCTTTACGTCCCCATCTTTCATTCTTTCAACAATTTCGTTTGTTTCTAATGCATTCTTTTTTTAAATGTCCCTGTCTTGGCCTGCTTCCTTCTGTCCTTATAAAAAATGTTGACATCACTTCCGGGTCACATGATTGACAGTGTAGGTACAGCGAAAGTAGTTCTTGTTCGTAAAGAAGGACAGTCCTACAGGGGACGTAATTCTTGCAAGCGTAGTAAAGATAGTCGTACAGGGGACGTAATCCATGCTCGAGTGTAAAGATGATCGAACACAAATACAAGGGAAAGTATCTCTTGTTGATGTAGCGGAATAATCACACAATGTACTAAAAAAGATGGGTAAAAATCGTGAAAGATATACTTGACTTCAAATTTAAAACGGTGGTTTTTTTATAATCTCAACAAAAGACAATAGTCATGCAACATACACGTCAAAATATAAAAAAAAGGAAAAACATGAAATTTAACAGCTCAAAAAATTATGTTTGATAATAATAAACGAATGTTGGTTGACCAAAAGTTTTAAACTTGGTTGTGCAACTCGATTTCTTTTCACTGCTTAGTTTACTGTGTAAAAAAAAAAAGTTTTAAACTTTTAGGCTTCAGCTGTTTCATTACATTATGGTTGCAAAGAGGACCATACAGTTTTATTTGGCAATACCGGCCATTATCAAGTAAAAAAAAAGAATGAAAAATCAAGTATTATGACGAATTTTAGAATTGTTCTAAGTTTAATGCAGCGATAAATAATGTAATTTGTAAACTTGAAATGGGGAAATATACTGTACGCCTGAATTAGAAGGTCACTGCTAATTGGGATTATCCTCAACGTAATTAGTGCGTATGACATAACTCATTAATTAGACCACTGTTTTAATATGAGAAATATTTAAAAGACTTACATAATTAAAAATAGACATAATGTGTTTACGTTGAATCTTATACCGAGTAGGATTGTCATGGTATGGCGTGGCCTAGAGGTAGAGAGCTAGACTTCTAGATAGTAGAATGTCCCTCGTCCACCCAGCTCTGATGGAAACTTAATTAGGGAGATCAAAGGCGGTTGGGCATTTTGCTGACCACGCTATCCCTTCATATTCCGAGATCTTGATACAGATGATGAACTCTAGTTCATCTGCCCCTAAGTGTAACAGAATTGGATACAAAAATCTAAAAAAAAATACGAGTTTACAACAAAAAGAAAGAGGAGGGGTGGGTGTGATGGGGTGGTTTATATATATATATATATAACTTTAACTTCTCGATATATTCTGATCTGATCTACTACTATTCATACGGGATTATTGTGAGGAGGACGGGAATCACTCTTATGTTCCGCAGACACTTATCAATAATGTCAACAGCTTCGTTTATAAAAATAACACTAACTTTATTAACACACTTAGATCTAGATCTATAGATCATTTGCACAACATCAATGAATACGACCGTATTCTAGTTTACCTAACCCCCAAATAACTTCACTGCTGCGGTCTACGTCATCGGTAACATTGTCGCGTCACGCTCACGTCATTGAACACGCGCACAATACTCTCGCACCAAATCTTCTACCGTCTAGTTCGCACCGTCCTTCGTAACCTCTACCAGTCCAGTCGAATTCTATATATCTACGCTATGACAGTGGGTAGTGTTGAATTCACAAATTATGTGTTACCGAAATGTAGAAAATAAAATAATTAAATAGCGACATTTTCAGATGAGAAGCTAAACGTTAACATTGTGACTACCTACTACCAGAAACATTAACGACTCTTCTTTTTAATTCTAGCTTAGAATAAAAACACGCTACATAACACAACGAAGACCTACGGACCATAAATTCTCAGTTTTGTCAATTACGACAAGAACCGAATCGACGGAACCTTAGGATGGGTCCCACCTACAATTGACAATGACACTCTCATCGAGGCACTAAAAACATTCAGTATAAAAGCTCCCACAATTCAAACCATTTCACTAACTAACAACCGTAGAATAACTATTTACCCAGAAAAAACAACAGACATTCCACACTATATCAAACTAAATTACAAAGACAAAACAATTGCCATTCTAATAGCCATTCCAGGCAGGAAACAAGCCTGCCAACACTGCTCTTCAACCCAACACTGGACTAATCAGTGCAACCAACCACACCTGAAACCACCGCAGCAGACAACCCCCAAACCAGCATCACGATCATCTGCTAAATCAACAACGCCTATTACAACAGGGATCGCAAAACAGCCAGTCGTTTCCGTTCCCCAAAGCCCAGTCATGGACACATTTGAAACAACGGTCTTAAAGATGTCAACACTTGACCATGACGAAGCAGCAAAACAGCCAACAACAAGCATTTATACAGTCACCACCCGTATCTCGACACCACAGAAAGAAACTTCCGGCCCTCAAAAAATCTCACAACAACGAACAATCATGGAAACATCAACAACCAAAAGGAAGAAAGAGGACAGCCCAGAATCAGAGAAAACATCTAAAGCAGCTAAAGCCAACGAAAGTGACAACGAGTTAGCTACCACCACCCCGTCCAAAACACCGATTGAAAACAAAACTCAACAATTGCCTGCTCTGCTCCTGTTTGTTCTTCGGACCACGGAGTAAAAGTAAAAGAAAACTCCGACACCCTAAATTGTCGAATCTGTAAATTAACAATAGAGGAAAACTTGCTCGAACACTTTGCAAAATAAACCGGGAGTGATCTCCCCTAAACTTTCTCGAATATTTTTATATAAAACAACAGGGCCTGGGAACTCGGGCTATAGACATGATTTTTAATCCATTTTAAATACTTAAAGTTTTAAAAATAGAATCAAGTCTCGTAGACAAAAGAATTGCACACCAAGTGAACGCCAAACAAAAAAGTGCATACTAGTGCGCAATATTGTTAGTACTTTAAAAATTTACATTAGTTTTTTGAGAAATCGGAAGTAGCGTAAATTACTACTTCCGGTCAACGGAAACTACTCAAAATTATTCAGAAGGTAGAAAATTAGATCTTTTACTCACATGTGAAACTTCATTTATCTATCTGAAATAGTACTCAAGTTATAGGCTTTTAACAATGCACCGATGTGACACTTATTTCAAGGGTTGGTTTTATAATTATAAATTAATATTATGAAATTATTGTCTTTCCTTTTTGGGTACGGTTCACACATTATCAATATTTAAACATAAACTAAAGAACCAGATTTCCTTTGTAATAATACTTTTTTATTGCATGATATAAAAATGTAGAAATAATATTTATGTTTGTATTTCTTGTGTTATGAATATCGTTTTCAAAAAATCTTTAATTTAATGTTGTCTCCCCTGTCATTAAATGTAAAATTTGATAAGAGGTTAACCTATATGACGTTAACAAAAATTTGTCATTTTACAAGCTTTTATTTAACTCACTTCCTCTGTCGTCAGTCTGTCGTCAGTCTAGATCGAAACGCCTGAGCAAAAATTCGGACACTTCTACTTGCGACTTAATTGGATGCCTAATTAATTTTTTTATGAATTAATTAAAATTTGGATCGAATTAGTAGGCATGTCTATCCAAACGCGTCATCACGGCAAAAGCGCGTTATCACGTTCAATAGCTGCGCCATCACGTTCAACAGGCGCGCAATGGTTTTTAGTCATTAAACTCTATTGTAAATAAAAACATGTATAAAGTAGTAAAAAAAATATTCATAAAAAATGTTTTAATAACAAGCTTTTATGTACTAATGCACTAAAAAGTGGATAATAAATTATAGACTACTATTTAAATAACTATAAAGAAAAGCTGACAATGCATTACTTCCAAGTAAATATTTTTTTTTTGCTTCGCGTATAATTATTCCAGTTTTGTTAATGTTTCTATCTAAAATATGTTGCTTTTCTTTTTAATAATTTTCTTCGACTTCATAACTTTTTGAAAAGTTGACAACACATTAATTCAAAGTAACAATACATTTTTTTTGGCTTGAATTTTTTTTAAATTTCTTATTGGGTACAAATTACGTGATTTTCTTTTATACGTATACAATCGAATCGCAGAATCACTTATATATTCTAAAACGTAAAGTTGAAAATAAACATTGTAGCGAACAATCCTATAATTTTACTACGTGCGAAAATCTAGTACACTTTTAAGGCCGGAGGGAATAGGCCTACATAAGAAAAAATGTCATTGATAAAATCAACCATGCTTAATTTCGTCAATCGACATCTAAATTTAAGTATAGGCGGATTTGAAAATTACTGGTCGATTAAGTCAAATCTGGGATGGGAGGGTAATCGTGTCTTTAAATACAGGGGGGATAATTTGATTTTAAAACATTAAGCGTTTGACATTTTAAGAACATTTTAGTAGTTTGTTTAGTTTTCATAGCAAAATTGAATTTTTTATTTAAAAATTAAAAAAAATATTTTGATTAAATATTTCCAAAAATAAATTAAGATTTAAATTATTATTATTAAAAAAAAAGAAACTACAAAAGTAACTTTGATTTCAAAGCTATAAATAACCAACTATGAATGGACTTAAAGCTTTAATTTTTATTTCTGTTGTCGCCTGTGCTGTGTCGGCGCCATCTTCCTCATATGACACACTTGAGACCAACCACGGACCGTATCCTTCAGGTAAATAAAATACATGTAGTTGTATCGTTATTACATACATTCATTGCCCTGATAGCAATCAACTCTAAGCTACGGGGATTTCCGTTACGTTGATTTCTGTTAAGGGGATTCCTGCTATGGTTATTTTGATTTAGCTTATGCTGTAAATGTATGACCAGCTTGATTTATGTATAGTCATAACAGTGTTTGGTCGTAACATGATACAATTTGATTAACTTTCTTTAATCCTAAAATGTATCACTGACTTTGGGTTAAAATGTCGCGAACACTTTTATGAATCAGCTTATCTTGACAAACATAATATTAATAATAATAATAATAATAATAATAATAATAATAATAATAATAATAATAATAATAATAATAATAATAATAATAATAATAATAATAATAATAATAATAATAATAATAATAATAATAATAATAATAATCTGTAATTTAATAATAATAATAATAATAATAATAATAATAATAATAATAATAATCTGTTATTATTATTATTATTATTATTATTATTATTATTATTATTATTATTATTATTATTATTATTATTATTATTATTATTATTATTAATTTTATTTAGTTCAAAAACATCATTTTTTTTTACTTTTAGATATCAGGGATAACTCAACAAATAGTCATGTTTCAAATTTAAATGAATTAATTCCCTTGACCTAACCGTTATTTCTTTTTCCTCCAGACTTTTCTTGCATAGATTTCACAGATGACTACGCATGCGCAGGGATCCATGACGGTGACTACCCGCTGTGCACTTTTTGTCAGTATGGCTACTATGCTACGTGCTCAAACCAAATCCTGCACATCAGGTAAACAATAATCCCACGGGTTCTCAAATGTTTAGTAAATAATCACCCATAGTGATTTTGCTGATATAGTTAAAAATTCCAATGTATTTCGTAGTTAACTTCATTACACGCTTGTTATGAATAAAATGACTCTTTCAATAGATACACATTTTTTTATATAATAAGAATGGTGTGATGAAATTGCATACTAATATTATTTTAATGTTTCATCACATATGGAGGGTTGGGGCGTGGTCGTTTAAGAAAGTATATGATTACCAACTCCATAATTTCAAAAGTTCGAACCTGAGGATGGATTGGGCCGATAGCAGGGGATGGGGGAAGTCGGGCAACAATCCATTTAGGAAATAGTTTTTTAAAAAATCTAACAATATCTGCCTTGCAGATTTACTGGGTAGATCTATATTTTTAAAATGTTAATGCGAAAAGTGCTAATAACATTTTTAAAAAAATATATATTGTTGTTACTCTATAAAGGAAAAGAGACGTATTTTAGATAAAATATTAGCGAATACCATACAAAAGTCGTATATGAACGTTTACTTTACTGTTGCACTTGTTTGTATGTGTGACTGAGCCTGTGCTTGAGTGTGTAGAGCCTTTTGTTATAAAACTCCCTACATTATATTGTCTCTGTTTAATTGTGTGTGTTCACTTTAGGCCGTGCCCTGATGCCTACTACCAAGGAAACGCCTTCGTCAGCAAGATGGTCTTCAACTCCAAAACACGAGATTGTCAGAAATTTGCGCCTAATTGTCCAAGATATTAATTGAACTCAACCAAATTAGTAATTGGAAAACAGCATTAATAAAGTATTACTATAGAAGTTTTATAGAATGATCTGGTCTGTGTTTTTTTATTTTTTTTATTTACAGAATTATACATTACAAAAATTGTCAATGTAGTAAAGTTTCCCTTCCAAACATCTCTCTACCGCTTGGCCAATCCGTCAATGCTATTTCGGGGCAAGCTTTTCGCTACAATGATAACAAAATTGATAACAAGATCACAAAACATCAATTACATCCTATCTTTAGTAAAGTCCGTAAAAAATCAGATTATTATGACCATATTTATTTTAACAACATCGTACAGAATGTTTAAAATATTAAATTGGCCTTTCGAAAAATTTTCAACATAAAACATATTAAAAAACACAAACAGTTTTGAGCTATTTTCTAATTTGATTAGTTACCAAAAATACTATAAACACAAAATACGTCAAATCTTTAGTTAAGTCCAATATAACCGATACCACTTAATTAAATTATTATGACAAAATACGTTTTAAAAACGCCACACAAGATTTAACCTAATATTTATAGGATGTCTCGAAAAATGGTGCAGTTGTTGTTGGTCAAGAATGACCAATAGTGCCGTTGTTGTTTGTCAGGAATGGCTAGTAGTTTCTTGTTCTTTGTCAGGAATGGTAAATAGTACAGCTGTTCTTTGTCAGAAATGACCAAAAGTGCAGTTGTTCTTTGTCAGGAATGGCCAATAGTGCAGCTTTTCTTTGTCAGAAATGACCAAAAGTGCAGTTGTTCTTTGTCAGGAAAGGCCAATAGTGCAGTTGTTGTTTGCCATAAAAGTCCAATTGTGTAGATGCTCGTTTCCAAGAATTGTCACTGCTGCAGCATACCACAAAGTTATAAATTACCACTATGAGATCAATTGTTTAACTTGTTTCGTGTTGTAAAATCTCATTTTGTAAAAAAACCAATCCTCAAACTCGAATAACGAGAGTCGTGGAAAATAACAATAGGTTGTGCATCGTGCTGAGCGCGTTATCCCTTTCTAGAAACAGATGAATATTACTTCATCCACCCAATGGTTTAAAAAAATACATTACCTTTTTTGTTACACTTCCGAAACAATAGTAATGATAGTTTATTGAAGGATTCTCACATTGAAAATTATATTGCTGGTTATGGTATTAAAGTGTGATCACTTATGAGAACTAAAAATTTAATTTTCACTCACAGTTAAATAAATCAAAAGTTTATCCACGAAACTTAGTTTTCAAAATTAAAAAAAAAATCGGCTACACTTGAAATCGGTCGTCATATGAAAACGTTTATTAAAAACTTTAACTCTCAACTTTCTCAGTCATGGACTATAAAATAAAATCTTTACTTTTCAGCTTTCTTAGTCATAAATAAAAAATAATAAACTTTTCTTAAATTTTCTAATCATAGAAATTAAAAAATAAACCAACTTCACAGCTATTATACTCATGGACCGTAAGATAACATTTTTAGTTCTCCATATTTCTTCTACACATGCCATAAAACGTGGCAGCAAATTTGGCGTTCATCTTGACGTAGATGATGAAGTTGACCGAGGCCATCATCTGGTGCAGTATATCGCAGACTAACTGAACATGTGGTCTCACCTTAAAAGTCAGGTAACAATACGTGTGTACCACAGTCACCGGCACCACCAACACCACAAACACCACACACACCGTCAACAACAGCTTGACCACTTTCATCTCCTTGGCTGACTTCTGGTGTAGAATACTGGACGACATGTTCTTGAATTTCTGTGACGTCACCAGCAGTTTTAAGATGGTCAGTGACGTACACAGTAGAACAACGGTCAAGGGGACCGTTGATACCATACACAAACTGTAGATCTCAAAGACCACTTGAAAGGTGAAACCACTTGCCAATCCGATGATAGAAAAATCGTTATTGGATATAATTTTATTTAAATAAAAAGCCGTGTATTTGTTCGGAAACGCGTTGATAATCCCAACGTAAATTGTTAGCAGTAAAATAATGCACTTCATTCGATAAGGTGTGTTGAGCTTATGCAAGTACAAAGGTAAAAACACCGCTAATAATCTTTCTACTGAGATTAATGCGACAAGGTGATAGTTTAAAGTTAAGAACAACGAATTACAATGACTCAAAACTGTAGAAAACTCCAGTAAATGTATGTTTAAAAATTTGAACCTCTGTTCCCTTAGGTGCAACAAATAGCAGTGCTTCATTAGATAGCTCGCTGTGAAGAGTAAGTCTAAGACTGACAATGAACTCATGAATATGTTTGTCGTGGATTTTAACCCTTGTCTGGTCAGAACAAAAATTGTGGCGCCATTGCCGAAAAATCCAAAGCCACTGAGTGAGTAGTAGAACGCCAGTCCCACATGATACATCACCGCCGTTGCTGTCGTATGTTGTATGTTGTCCGAGGCTGTTTGGAGTGTGGTGGTTAAATTACCTGACACCAGATTGTCATTTCCATAGCTACGATCGATTTCAATTGTCGACATCTTGTCTATTGCATGTCGAATATATTTCTTGTTATTGTGTATTACTGTTTTCTGTAATGATGAAAAAATATTTTGACGTTTCACAACCTACATGTTGATAAAAATACTTCAAATGGACATATTAGTTAAAAACTGATTGTAGTATGACGATTGATATATAAGTAGAATTAAAAAGTTTTTAAGATTTCCATGAGAAATCTGATTTTTTGGATTACAGTAAATTGCATTATTTATTATCTAAACTTGACGATTTGGACTTGGCAGGCGAAATCAAATTTTTTCCCACAACCAATATGCAGGAGATAACAAACATTGTGGCAGAATAGTTGTCAAAGGTTGGATGTAAATCAACAAGCAACAGACAAAAATACTAAAGATTGACGTTACCAGTACTGAACAAGTCACACTTAAAAGAGGCCCATAGGACTACCAGGGCGAAACAGATGATGGTGATGTAAGGATTGGCTAAACAAGAACAGCCTTCGCATGATGATGATGTAAAGAGTTTGCAAAACAAGAACAGCTAAGGACTCTCTGGAATTTTCATGAGCAACTTTTCAACTCAAATGTTAATCAGTATTGTTCTGTTGGGGCATAGTCTTGGAAGCTGACAAATTCCACTTGTGACAAAGTTAGAACTATTTGTACAGCTGCCTTAGACAAATACCCAGGATCCAATGGCATGACACCAACGCAAAAAACGTTCCGCTAAGAAATTTAGAAAATAAGATGGGGATGGAAAGGGCATACACTGCCCAAAACGCTGTCCAATGTCATTATGCAGGTATTGAGGTGGAACCTTAAAGGAATTAGAAAAAATAGTTCGACCAAGAAAGACATTGCGATGGGAACTTGAAGCTCAAAGTACAGAAGGGTCACACCTGGAGTCGGGTTGAGAAAACGGCACAAGACAGAGGTTTCGAGAGACGTATCTGATTGGCGGCTCATACCCCAGTAGGGGTGGAGGGCAGTGATGATTATAATGATTTTTATTTGCTAGTCATGTATTATCTTAGTAAAATAGAAGTGGGTTGACCAAGATCGTAAATACAATTCAATAGCAAGACTTTCCTAATATTCACAAGAAATTATTCATTTTGTTAACCAATTGAATAATAGTTAGACTATGGCAACGTGAGAATTGATACCACGTCAAAAATAAATCGAATTCGCGTTTATAAAACATTTTAATTAGATTTACAGAAATCATATAATAAACACTTTCTACGTGAGTGGACTCAAAGACGAGTTACAAAACTGTTTTTTTTTTAAATTTCAAAATGAGGTAGTTTTAAATGACTTTTGTCTGCCAAATATAATAGTAAAAATGGACACAAAAGCTGAGGAATTTCAATAAAAACATGAGTAGTTTGAAAACAATGTTTCTAGAACCAAAAATTAGATTGTGAAATGTCTAGATTTTAATAGCCTGTTTTAAAATGATTTAAAAGTTTAGATTTCATTGTGACACAGACAACGAAATCTACAGCGGAGCTAAACTGGTAGAGTAATGACGTCACGACACACATAATGACGTCGATCTGATTTAACGTACTAGGAGCGAAGTAAAACTTAGTTAAGAGTCGCGAGGGAATAAAAACAACAGCAAACACCACACACACAGTGACCAGCATCCTGGTCAGTTTTAGGTCTTTGATTTTCTTAGACACTGGAGAAGACACTGCGGTTTTGTTTGATGTTTTGCTGGTCATACATAGTTTAAGTAAAGTCAGTGCAGTACACACGAGTATAACAGTAAAAGGTATGGCTGACACAAGAACAAATCGATCAAAATTAAAATAACTTGAGATACGCGTCAGTTGTTTTAGAATTTTGGGCTGGTCAAAATTAAGTAAATATTTATTCATAAAGTATTCAGTAAATTTATTTTCAAATACACTCGCAAGTACCACGTATATGTAAATTAAAACAATCATAATTTTGAGTCGTGTTGCAGAAAAGAACCCTGAAAAACATGACGGTAAGCAAACATCAACAAATCTCCGCACTGATATCAAAGCCACCTGATGAAAACTTGCAAGAATCGCACAACGATTTAGAAACATGACAACGTTCAGATACTCAACTCGTATGCTGTACAGGACAGTATAGCAGTGCTGGGAGCACATCACTAAGACCACATTTAAAACCCCAGTCACTGAGAACATCAGATGTGTACCAGAAAGTGATGCTAGGATAATGTCTGTCGGTTCTTTCATCCCGCGTGCTACCACTTCCGCTATTGTCAGAACATTTCCCATAATGCCAAGAACACTCAAAATACACAGTAAAATTATATTCACGTAGTGGAAAACGCCCTCTGATAAAATAAACAGCGGATTATCGTCCTTTAATGAGTCCATTTGGAAAGTGTTGTTTAGGTACAATCCACTTAACCATGACTCCATTTTACGAATAGTACAAGTCGATGACGGTAAAGGAGAAACAAAACTAACTATTTTAAAAATAATGTTTTTTTTGTTGGTAGCAGTAGATCAAAATTTCAAAATTTCTTAAAAATCTAAAAAATATTCGCCTTTCATGCAATAAAGTCCTAGATCTGCCATCAAATACGACTTTGTTCTTCTATCCGTTTAGGAATTAAGCCACCGATAATATGATCCCCGCCTGTAAGTCTATATACAGGAATCAAAAGCTACAATCTTAACAATATAAGGCTGGCCTTTCAATAAACAAACATATAGGTTTGTACAATTTTGTTTATACACACACACACATACACACACACACACGCATATATATATATATGTATATATATATATGTATATATATATATATATATATATATAGAGAGAGAGAGAGAGAGAGAGAGAGATTTTAAAATATCAGTCAAATTAGGTGTCCGTTTTACTCTCGTACAATAACACAATATTTGATACACACGTTAGTCATACCTTGGTTATAAAGAGAATCAGTAGGTTACATTCGTCGTTAAAGTTATGTTTACTGCACGCAATAAAATTTAACTTTTAAAAATCGCAATGAAAATATCTGTTTTAATATCGTTTTTTTTTTAAAATTAAGATTTTATTTCACACATGAAATTTAATTTGTACACGAATTCCTATCAATAAATGTTTCTGTTTGTGGGTTATTCTTCATTTTTTTTATACCACCCTTTGTATCTTGATGACAAATCCAACGATAAAAATAACAGTTTTTGTTTTTAATGTCGATCGTTAAACCATTTGATTTACTTTGAACATCAAAATGTTTTTGACACTGAAAAGCTATAAAAAAAAACAACAAAGACCTCGGATCTAATCGATTGTGCTAATTTTCCTTTTGCGTTGAAATAGTTATTACTTAGCGTGGTATGAAAGAAAAATTATAAAACGTCGAGAAATAATGGTTAGGATCGACTCTTAAGTGTCAAGCTATCTCTTCACTCGTAACTGCAGAAGTTAATGGTTAACTTCTGTAGTTACGAGTGAAGAGATGTCTTTATTCGTCATCATCAACACGACTGTGTATTTCTTCTATGAATCATCACAGTTTTGAAGTTTCTTTTGTCTTGAAGGAGAGCCAACGTCACAGTGTCTATAGCTAGTAGAAAATGAAAGGCCAAAACACTGTGTGCCAGCATAACAATACCAGTCATCAACGTGAATACCTACAATTTTACCTAACCCAAGAACTGATTTGCATTTTTTTCCTCTAGGATCTTTGATTATTTTGATAATTTTGATTGTTTTAGTTTATATACACAATTTTTGTTTGCGTTAAAGATGTATTTCAATATTTAAACTAACCTACACTCTGATTTTTTATTTTCTTGTATGTCTTTTTCATGTTTCTTTGGCAAGGTAGTTATTTTCATGACTTCATTTGATTCGGTACTACATGAAATTGGAGCTGTGTTTGTAAGTTACTTGCATTCTTTTACTATAATGCGATTAGTGCGTAGCTTACTACAACTCTCTTTAAAATCACTGGTAATGACCCAACCAATTCTAGTTAATACGAGTGTCTCTTGTTTTTTAATTAGAGTGTCAGAATCTCGAAGAATGCCCAACCAACACGATTCAGGCTAGGTATCACAGTATCCTTTATTTCTCTCACTAACGCGCCACCTAGTCCCACATCAACCTGTTTGCTTTCACTCCAACTTTCAACTGTCCTCCGCATTCATCCCTACACACCACCTTTCTCTCGCTCACAACACAGCCACTGTCACCCGACCAGTCGCTTCCCTTGTACCCTCGTTCAGTCCGTACAACAACATACACGTCAACACACCCGGCCTCGCGTCTCACTACATGATACATACACACACGCAGTGACCCGTTCAACGTATTCACCATTCATACACAGTACATCACCACATAGAGTATCATATCACTTTTGTGTGTTTTTCTCAAAATGTTTTTTTTTTAAATGGTTCTACCATTTCTTTATAAAAATTTACCCGTGTCATTCCGCTCGATGTAAATTTTTAAAAACTATTTTCTTTTTACGAAAGGAACGTCGATGTTAAATGTTGTTAACAGTCTACTATGAATGGACTACAGACATCAGTTTTTGTTGCTATTATCACCGCCACTGTGCCAACACCATCTTCCTCGTGCGACGTACACGAGAATAACCACTGAAAATACTCTTCATGTAAATTTTTTACCTGTGTAAAATATTACTGTGAGTTAATATTCTTGATTGCCTTTAACTTTAACGAAAGTGAATTGCGTTGCGTATCAGGTATGAAAAAAATAATGCATTCAATTTTCTTATTGAAAATATCAGTTAAATTGATTTAATTGCGTTTCTAAATTTTAACTTGAGAACACTTGATTTCATTATCTTTCTTTGACCTCCATCATTATCAATGACTGTAGTTTAAAAGTGGCGGTCAATACTAAGTTCTACTTAATGGAACATCTTCTCTTTACTTAAGACGTTTTGTTTTTTGTTTGTTTTAAAACCCAGCTTATTTAATTTTTTTTTGCAGTAAAACTTAAAGTACAAAATGCCAAGGTAAAACATTAATAATAATAGTAATTGAATAGAAATGATACTACTACAACAACTACTATTAATAATAATAATGATAGTAATAATAGTAATAATAATAATAATAATAATAATAATAATAATAATAGTGATGATGATAATGATGATAATGATAATGATAATAAAAAAATGAGTTATCAAAAAATGCACGTGAATTTATAAAGTACTAATAATATTCAGCACTATTATACACATATCGTTTGTCGTTCATTTGGTGCGCAATTATTTTTTTTTTCTACGAGTTTCTATTTTAGTTTAAAAAGTTTAAATAAAAATGGATTAAAAATCATGTCTATATTCCGAGTTGCCATTCCCAGTTGTTTAGTATTAAAATATTAGAGAAAGTTTATTGGAGATCATTCCCGTTTTATTTCATTTACAATAACGTTGCTTGGCTAAAAACTATTGCGCACCAAAAGAACATGATATTTCGCGAATAATAGTGCGGAAATAGTAGTAAAATTATCCTACTAATTTCAGAATATTTTAATAAGTTCATAAAAAATGAATTAGGCATCTAATAAAGTCAAATTTAATGTCATATTGCACTGTCTTTACGTCTTGATCCACGTGCCAACTTTGAAACAAATCTGTCAGTTAGAAGTGCGCCCAAAATTTTGCTCAGCCGTTTCGATGACAACAGACAGACGACAGACTGTCGACAGAGGAAGAAAGTTGAACAGAAGATTGTAAAAAATATAATAAAATATATTGTCCTGTAAAGGAAAGGTGGTGTCTCTAATATGTGTGCTAGAGATTCACTATTATGAGATATGTGTGTACTTATGTGAATATGTGTGTGTTTCTCTCTCTCTCTCTCTCTCTCTCTCTCTCTCTCTCTCTCTTTCTGATAATCTCTTTAAGTGTGTGAGCGAGATTTTTCATAGAATTGACTGCGGCTTCCGCACTATAAGTTGTCTAATTAATTTTGTATGTACATTTCAGACCGTGCCCTGATGCCTACTACCAAGGAAACACCTTTATCAGCAGGATGGTCTTCAAATACAAAACACGAGATAGTCAGAGATTTTAGCCTAATTGTCCCAGATATTAAATAAACTCAACACAAGATTTATTTTTAAAAAAATATTGCAAAAATAGTTTTAATATCAATCTTTAAATATGCACTAAAATAATTCATTAAAAACGTTTTAATAACAAGATTGTATGTAATAATACGCTAAAAGTAGAAAATAAATTATACACAACTATTTAAAACGTGTGGGTCACTTTAATATGTATTGGATACGTTTACTAATATTTAGGAAGAGACCCAAGGTTTTCTTTATAGTTATTTACATAGCAGTGTGTAATTTTTTTATTGCATTAATACATAGAAGCTTGTTATTAAAACTTTTTTATGAATTTTTTTTCTGTACTTTAATTGTTTTATGTTTACAATAGTGTTGAATAACAAAAAAACCATCTCGCACATAATGAACGTGTTGATGCGTGAATAATAGTTCCGAATAGTTGGATGAGGCAGCCTACTAAGTTGGACGAAATATTAATTTATTCATAAAAAATTAATCAGGCAACCAATTAAGTAAAGTTTAATGTCATGTTGTATTGTCTTCATGTCTTGACTAACGTGCCAATGTTGAAACAAATCTGCCAGTTAGTAGTGTTCGAAATTTCGCTCAGGCGTTTCGATCTAGACAGAACACTGACGACTGAGAACAGACAGACAGAGACAGTGAGTTAAATAAAATGTTGTAATAAAAATGAAGAATAAAATGTATTTAGTTTAAAATATTATAATGCAATTTTTTATATAAATATAAAGAAAAGGGTGGTTCTTTTTATTACGTACTTAAAACTAGCATACATAAATAATTGTACAGTTAATAATAATAATAACGGGTTAAGTAAAAATAATGGGTTTGAGTCTGCACGCCATCTGACCTTTGTTATGGAAAGTAAAAACGTCTGTTCGTAATGCTGACCATTCTATTTTCCTGTATATCGAGCTAACTGAAACAAGAAATCCACTACATCTACCTAATGCCTCTTTGGCACAATCGGGAAAGATGATGATGATGATGAAGTAATAAAATAATATTTAAAAACCTTCATAGCAAAAAGCTTTTAAATGCACTGATAATAAGAAAATAAAATTAATTTGTTTTTTTTTCATAAAAGTTTTTTTCGCTCTTGAGATCTTTTACATATTTTATCCCTAATTTATGAAGTCGACACAACTAAAAACACTTTCCTAAAAACACCATCCTTAGCTCTCGACGTAGTCGTGACGTTAAGGTGTGTCATTCTTTTTTATTTTTGCACGTTTTGACGTAATTGACGCATGTAGTCATTGGTCAAGTGTAACACAAATTACATTTTCTACTGACGTTTTTGTCCGTCTGAGATAAACTCTAGGTCGACCTAGTTTCGAGGTGTTTATCTGGAAGAATCGTGACCCATGAAACACCGATCTTCCGGTTCTCAGGTATAAAAACCTTGGTTAGACGTCAGGTCATCTTGAACGTTGATTCCATTGCTAGGTCTGCTAGGGTAAGTACTTGCAAGTAGTTCTGGGATTAGTGTATTGTAAGTATTTCAAGGATAATATCATTTAAGATCATTGTAAGTAGTTCTAGGATAAGTTGATTGTAATTAGTTCTTGAATAAGTTCATTGTAAGTAGTTCTAGGATAAGATCATTGTTAATAGCTCTAGAGCGAAATGATCGCACGCAATGCTAGGGTTAGATCATTGTACGTAGCGCTAGATTAAGAGAACTGCACGAACAGCTATAGTTTGTTATTTTCTATACGGTGGGAGAATGGTAGAACATAGTTGTGACCACATACTTTTTGTTCAGACAATGTTGTTTGAGGATAAGTTATAAAGGGACAGTTAGAGTTATTCTATTAATCGCAACACAAGCATTTGACCACTTTTAAAATTAATTTTTACATGTACAGTTTTGATCAGCTACCAGAATGAAAGCAGCTGCTCTTTTTGCCCTGCTCCTTGTGGGCGCCGTATCAGCTATGCCAACGAAGAAGTCTGTAAGTATTAAAATGTTTGTCTCGCCCCTACCTCCGTTTCTGTCTTTCTCAATCCTTCTATTTCTAAGGTACATTTCCAATCCAAGTCTCTTTATTTTTCACTTTCTGCCTCTCTTTCCCTTTCTCTCCCTCCCTACGATGTCTCCTTAAACATTTTCACATCCCCACCTCTCTCGATATATGACTTTCTACACAAATCCCGAGTTCGAACCCCAAGACTGATACATCAACTTGGAGAAAACTCAAAAATCAAACAACTGCTGCCGTGCAGATAGTTTAAGAACAGACCTAAGTTATGGAGTGAAATGCAGAAATAAAAGGTCAGGTTCAACGGGCTATTTGGCGATATGTCTTTACACATTGACAAGTATCATTTAATTGTGTCGGAGAAAATCCTCTCTAAATATTGCAATTATGAAAAAAGAGACAGAAAAAAATGACCCAGCAGAAATACTAAAGTGGAACAGACAAGAAACGAATTAATCTATTGTTAGTTTTTAGTTTCTGACTTCAAGAAAATTATCGACAGGATGGGCCTATTAAGGTTATAGAAAAGACGTGTTTTTTTTCACTCTTTTGACTTTTAAAAAAATATCGAAACCACATTTCGGTATTTGACAATTTGGGCCTAGATAAGATTGTAAAAAAAAGCCTAAATTATTTTTTGACAGACCAACCAACAAAAGGAAGACTTTGAAGCAACCATCTCAATCAAGTTCCGCTCGGATGCTCGGGATATCGACTGGCAGGGAATTTGGAATGGTGTTGTGGATACTTTGGGCAATCCTATAATCCTTGGAGGGCCTGGGAAGAAAGACCTAATTAGCATCGACTGGGAAGGAATTTGGAACACCGTAGTTCAGGCGGGCTTACAACAACCGTGGTATTTAGGTCCAGGAAAAAAGGAATTGTCACAAGAAGCTTGGACTGACTATGTGGCCCCAGCTCTTCAAATTGCCCAGGTCCTCGTACCATTAGTTGGCAGAGACACACAAGATGTTGACTGGTCACAGGTAATTTCAACAGCTGTCCAAGTAGGTACGACAGTTCTACCATTGCTTGTTGGTAAGAAGGACCTAATTAGTATCGACTGGCAAGGAATTTGGAACGCCATTGTTGAGGCAGGTTCCCAACCGATGTATTTAGGTGCAGGAAAGAAACGGGCACTGTCACAAGAAGCCTGGACTGACTATGTGGCCCCAGCCCTTCAAATTGCTCAGATCCTCGTCCCATTAGTTGGCAGAGACGTAGAAGATGTTGATTGGACACAGGTAATTTCAACAGCTGTTCAAGTAGGCACTACCGTTCTTCCATTACTCGTTGGCAAGAAAGATTTAATTAGCATCGACTGGGAAGGAATTTGGAATAATATTGTAGATTTCGGTTCCTCTGTAGTCCACGCAGGGAAAAAGGAATTGTCACAAGAAGCCTGGACCGAATATGTGGCCCCAGCCCTTCAAATTGCTCAGATCCTCGTCCCATTAGTTGGCAGAGACACACAAGATGTTGATTGGTCACAAGTAATTTCAACAGCTGTTCAGGTAGGCACTACCGTTCTACCACTACTCGTTGGCAAGAAAGATTTAATTAGCATCGACTGGGAAGGAATTTGGAATAATATTGTAGATTTCGGCAACACGCTAACTCACACAAGTATTACAAGTGTAGGGAAAAAAGAATTGTCACAAGAAGCCTGGACTGACTATGTAGCCCCAGCCCTTCAAATTGCTCAAATCCTCGTCCCATTAGTTGGCCGAGATGTAGAAGATAATGACTGGACACAGGTAATTTCAACAGCTGTTCAGGTAGGCACTACCGTTCTACCATTACTCGTCGGCAAGAAGGATTTAATTAGCATCGACTGGCAAGGAATTTGGAACGCCATTGTTGAGGCGGGTTCACAACCGATGTATTTAGGTGCAGAAAAGAAACGGGCACTGTCACAAGAAGCCTGGACTGACTATGTGGCCCCAGCCCTTCAAATTGCTCAGATCCTCGTCCCATTAGTTGGCAGAGACACACAAGATGTTGACTGGACACAGGTAATTTCAACAGCTGTCCAAGTAGGTACGACAGTTCTACCCCTACTCGTCGGTAAGAAGGACCTAATTAGCATCGACTGGGAAGGAATTTGGAATAATATTGTAGATTTCGGTTCCTCTGTAGTGCACGCAGGGAAAAAGGAATTGTCACAAGAAGCCTGGACCGAATATGTGGCCCCAGCCCTTCAAATTGCTCAGATCCTCGTCCCATTAGTTGGCCGAGATGTAGAAGATGTTGACTGGACACAGGTAATTTCAACAGCTGTCCAAGTAGGTACTACAGTTCTACCACTACTTGTCGGTAAGAAGGACCTAATTAGCATCGACTGGGAAGGAATTTGGAATAATATTGTAGATTTCGGTTCCTCTGTAGTCCACGCAGGGAAAAAGGAATTGGCACAAGAAGCTTGGACTGACTATGTGGCCCCAGCCCTTCAAATTGCCCAGATTCTTGTGCCATTAGTTGGCCGAGATGTAGAAGATGTTGACTGGACACAGGTAATTTCAACAGCTGTCCAAGTAGGTACGACAGTTCTACCACTGCTTGTTGGCAAGAAAGATTTAATTAGCATCGACTGGGAAGGAATTTGGAATAATATTGTAGATTTCGGCAATACGCTAGCTCACACAAGTAGTACAAGTGTAGGGAAAAAGGAATTGTCTCAAGAAGCTTGGACTGACTATGTGGCCCCAGCCCTTCAAATTGCTCAAATCCTTGTCCCATTAGTTGGCAGAGACACACAAGATGTTGATTGGTCACAGGTAATTTCAACAGCTGTCCAAGTAGGTACCACAGTTCTACCACTGCTGGTTGGCAAGAAAGATTTAATTAGCATCGACTGGGAAGGAATTTGGAATAATATTGTAGATTTCGGTTCCTCTGTAGTCCACGCAGGGAAAAAGGATTTGTCACAAGAAGCCTGGACCGACTATGTGGCCCCAGCCCTTCAAATTGCCCAGATCCTCGTCCCATTAGTTGGCAGAGATGTAGAAGATGTTGACTGGACACAAGTAATTTCAACAGCTGTCCAAGTAGGCACTACCGTTCTTCCATTACTCGTTGGCAAGAAAGACCTAATTAGCATCGACTGGGAAGGAATTTGGAATAATATTGTAGATTTTGCTACAAAGCCCTTACCCGTAATTCCATAAGGGAAGAATTAAGTTGCCGTTAGACAAATCAACATTGACTCGATATGGCTTCAAAACAAATAACTACTCTTCGCCTCCAATAGTAAATAAAAATAGAAAGTAAAAATATAGATTTTGTGTTTTAATGTAGTTTTGTTTCTTTTGTGTCGCAATACTTTTTTAGTTAGGGGTATATCAATAAATTCGAAAATTACGAACAATCGTGAGATAAATAAAATTCAGTATCTAACAGGCATAAACCAAACTAACATTCATAAAAATTGTTTACATTTAACAATTTAGATAGATTATATTTTAAAACACTAAATGAAATATGAAGGCATTTTTCATTAATTAACCTCAACATAGCCATCTTTTGCCTGCTTATATATTCATACATGAAAAAACTAAATATAATAATGCGAAAGTTATCTCTTAAATTTTCTCGTTTATTCCTATCTATCAGTAAGGTGGATGGCGATCCCAGTGTAATTAGCCTATAGCAATGTTATTGTTAGTTCTCTTGACATTTATCTTTTTTTTTTAGATCGGTCTAGTACAAAATATCTTTTCTGAGCAAACAGAAATAGTTCAACCTCGATTCACCGGAAACCACTCTGAATTTTTTAAAATCAGTTATATCTTATACGTACGTATAAATCTTCACCCACCTACATTAAATTGTATTTACATTATCGATTATTTAACTTCCGGTTATAGTTGTACAACCGCGATGAAGCTGCCAATGTCAAACCGGACGACACTGTAACCAAGACGCAAAAAATTGACGTAAACACGATCTAACTGACCAAAGCATTAAAAACAGTTGGACCAACTAATAGAAAAGAATTAATTGTACCAAAATAGAACTCTTTGAACAAAGATAGAACTTGAATGGTAAACAAGTGCAAGTGTTTGTGTGAAAGAGAGGCAGAATGTGTCTGAGGGTATATATTCGAGGCCCTAACTTTACAGTAAGGCTGACAACACCGAAGCTTGCAGAAAAGCTGGTCAGAGAAAGCGGTAGAGAACAAGTCAATGATGATATGAGTGAGTACAGAAATGATGTGAGATGCAAAATGAAGAGATGCAGTAAAAGTCAGACAACAAGGGGCGTTAGCCAAGACCGGTTGTGTTGTCCATAAATCCACGGTTAGGCGTAACGATGGCCCGACGTGTTTGATGAGAGAAGTGTTAGCCTACACTGTGGTGGTGTTGTCCATAAGTCCACGGTTAGGCGTAACGAATACTCGACATGTTTGATGAGAGAAGTGTTAGCCTACACTGTGGTGGTGTTGTCCATAAGTCCACGGTTAGGCGTAACGAATACTCGACATGTTTGATGAGAGAAGTGTTAGCCTACACTGTGGTGGTGTTTTCCATAGGTTAGGCGTAACGATGGCCCAACGTGTTTGATGAGAGAAGTTTTAGCCTTCACTGTGGTGGTGTTGTCCATAAGATAGGGCTAACAGGGATCTGACGTGTTTATTAATAAGAGAACAATGACCGAAGAATGTGAGAGATAAGGACCGAACCAATTTCTGGACCTGTGACAGTGGAGGTATGTTGGTTTTTGTGTTACTCTTGTGGAACATTGACAGTGGAGGTATGTTGGTTTTTGTGTTACTCTTGTGGGGCATTGACTGGCATGCAGATTTAGTAAGGTGAATGAATCGACAAACCATCAAGTGTGCCAGTCTAGCGCCTCCATTCCTAGATTTGGACATACATACAATCACACGACGAGAATACAACAAGTCTCTCACATTTCCAAATTAAATTTCTTCTCCCTAACTGAGATAGTACTCAATTCAAGGAATTATTTTGAAATAGTGTAGGGTAACACATCTAGTTACAAATTATTATTTTTATAAGTTGCAAGAAACCTGTGAATACAATGTTATACTTATGTATGACGTCTCATTCAGTGTACTCAAAATATTGGATTTTGAGAAACAGGAAGTAGAATTAAAGTTTGCCGGTTAGACCTCAAACGTTTAGAGAAAGCTACACATGTAATAGATCAATTACATATGACACTTCAACAACTGAAATGCTACTCAAGTTATCGTGTTCACAAAGACACAGACAATGACCTTTTTTCCCTTTGGAAGGATGTAAAACGTTAAATTTGACCGAATCTCGATTTCAATCTTATGCAGGATAACACAACATCCTTTATGTTCCGTTTATGTTAAAGTAGGGAAGTATAAAACGGCAAAAACTGTTAAAATATCTATTAATTATTTAGCATCAATACAATACTTTCTCTATACTCTGTAGGAGAGAAATTAAAACGTTACACTCATCTTCAGAACCCACCGTTATGGAAAGAAGTATTTATTTAAACTGTCATTGCAGATGTTATTTGTGCTGTTTATTAGTGATGTTATTCTCTGTCCTAACTGCACTCTGGTGCACTTGAATTGTGTACTACGATGCCACTAGTACTGATATTCTTTGTCCTATTTCTTACCGGTGCAGATGCTCTTTCTCTTAAATGACCACTTATATAGATGTACTTTGTCCCATTATGTGCATTGGTGCAGATGTTCATTGTCATGAGTTTCCACTGGTACAGATGTTCTTTGTACTAAACTTTCACAATTGTAGATTTTTTTTTCTCCTAAATGCCGACCAGTACAAAGTGTTTGTGTGTGTTTGAAATGGAGCATCACATGATTATGAAAGGTTTTCAGATTATATATTCCTTTGAAAAATATGTTGTGTTTCGTGAAGGATTCGCATATTTAAAAAATGGCATTTCTTATTACAGCACTGTAAGTATAACTTGTAGAGAATTTTAGATTTAAATATATGATAAATGATCTAATACATATAGATTATCGTTGGTACATAGTAATATAATTATATGGTGTGAACACACGGACACGCCTTTCGGGTGATCCGAAGCGTAGCGCAACACATAAGACAAACAACCACAAACGGGTTACAAAACAAGACTGAATAAAAACAAAGGCTCGTTGAAGCTAAAAAGAATGTAATAGTATCTACACTATCTACACCTAACACAGTCTATTCTAAACACAAAAGCTAGTAAAACTATAATACAGTGGCTAAAAACTAGTATAAACCTAACCTGTACTAACCTTGGAGATCTGGACAAAACTGAGGCAATCACACACGTTTTCATACACCTTATTTATCCTTTCATAAACTGGTAGAAACCGGACTATTACAACTCACACAGCACGAGAACTGAACAAGGACGAACGGGATAGGGTACCAAGTAACAACAACATTCACACCCACTCATCCCCCTTCACCCGTTCACTACAACATTATTAACAAAACTTTACTCAGATTAAATTTTAAGAATCTAATATATAAAGTTGAAAATTCTGTATGTATGTAATTATGTTTGTCGTGGATTACAAAGGAATATGAGAAAATACGATACTTCCATGGATTCCAAAGTTAGATAATTAAAGCGCTCATGGTCTAAATGCATGGTTTGAAAAATTAATACTGAAAGTGTTGGGAATAATTTTTATTTTTCAAACTGATAGTAATAATTGTCGTTATGTTCATTAAACAAAATTTTAAAAAAAATATCATCTTTTACAAAAATTCTAATTATGTCTGAAAATTATTTATATTTAGTTTTTTTAGCACTTACTTCCCTTTGATAAATTAGGAAAGCACAATTACTTCCCTTTATAAAACATTGCATTAGTGGAAAAGACGTTACTTTTTATTACTTTATTTTGGTGTTGGGAAAAAAAGAATTACATAATTAGCACGGATTAAACAAGTGCATTTGGTAGGTATTTTTAATTCTGCCTTTTATTTATTTCATACACTAAACGTACTGTTTACTAAATATTTTTTTAATTAAAGACATTTGACGAAAATAAAAGACATCCTTATTCGGGAACGGGAATTCCCGCGGGTTATTATTTGTGGGGTTTTTTTTTTGCCCATTCGTTTACGTCTGTCTTTTTTGCGCACGAAGGGGAATTGGTTTTGGTCGGTCGCACCAGAAAGCTCTTTTATAGACACCTGCACCAAACTAAAAGAAGATACACAATTTTATATATTAGATTAGTATTTTTAATCAAAGACGGGTGAAGTAACAAAAGACATCTTCATTCAAGAACGGGAATTCCCGCAGGTTATTAGTTCTCTATTTTTTGGCGTGTTCGTTTCCGTCTGTCCTTTTTTTGCGCACGAAGGGGAAATCCTTTTTGTCGGTTTCATCAGAAATCTCTTTTATAGAGACCTGCGCCAAACTACAAGAAGATATACAATTTTATATAATAATAGCCGTCCCGGTTTGTGTTGTGTTGTGTGTATGTTGTGTTTGTGTTGAGTTTAAGTTGTTTTTGTTTTTTGTTTGTGTTGTGCTTGTGCTTGTGTTTGTGTTGTGTTTGTGTTGTGTTGGTGTTGATGTTGATGTTAATGTTGATGTTGGTGTTGTTTTGTTTTGTGTTTGTGTTGTGTTGTGTTTGTATTGTGTTTTTGTTATGTTTGTGTTGTCTTTGTGTTGTCTTTGTGTTTTCTTTGTGTTGTGTTGTGGTTTGGTTTACGTTCCGAATTGGTTTGTTTTCTTTTGCTTTTTTTGTTTGTTTTTTCTTGGTATTTATTTTTGTGGTTGTGATTGGGTTTGTTGTTAGGTTTTTGTTTTTGTTTGTGTTTATATTTGTAATCGTGTTTGCGTTATGTTTGCGGGTTTTTTGTTTTGTTTTGGTTTGTTGTGGTTAGGATGGGCTATGCCGGGTATATGATGATTACTAAACACACAGGTAATGGTCCTTAACAGATAGCTTTTTCACAGAGGCCAGAGCAGGGCCTGGTCGGGACGGCTAGTAAAATCTAATTCTTATGTTTCTTAGGCATAGAAATTAAGACTTAAGAGAACACATTAAAAAGTAAAAAAAAAACTAACAAAGTTTTAATTACAAATTTAATAAAATGAAGCACTAAAACTAGGAAATAAATTGTTTTCGTTAAAACTATAATGGCTAGCTTACCAGGCCTAGGAGTAGCTGTATGCTGACGCAATAATTCAAAATAATTTCGTCAATGCGTAAATATTACAAATAGTATTTTTTTAAGATGCGTAATCAAGTTTTCTAAAACAGCTGTTAAGGCACAGGTTTGTAA